AATATATCTTCTATATATTATTCTAATATTACTCTTTCCCTCTTTTTTTTTTTATTTTACTATTTATATATTATATTATAACTAATTATATTTATAAAGTATATATTAAACCTTTCTTAAGAATTATTATATCTTTACTTTTATTTAACTTAGTTAGTATAATATCTATTTAAGAAAGAGCTTTTACTAAAAGCTTTATTAAAGCTTATAAGACTAAGTAACTTATTAAATCTAAGTAGACTTTTAGAATTCTAACTTAGTTATATTTTTAGGTTAATTATAAAAGAGATAAATTAATTAAATATATTAATAAAATAGCTATTTAGCTAGAACTTATATACTTTAATAATACTCCTTCTCTTTTTAATAAGAAACCTATCTTAATACCTATATAGCTATAATTAAGAGATATTAAGTTATAATAATATCTTCTAAATAGATAGGGATTAATAATAACTTACTTAAGATACTTATAGTTATACTTAAAGATATTTAAAAGTATTATAGGTGTTTATAACTTTTAAGGTATTATCCTTACTATTATTATACTAAGTAGTAGTAATATTACTAGAAGTTTTACTATAGCTATATATTATATTAGCTAGAGAGTTAGGCTAATCTTAAGATTACTTAGAGGCTTTTTATAAGTAGATTACCTTATAATTAAGGGTATATAATAATATTACTTTACTCTTTTTATTAGATATTTTATAATATTATTTAGTGAGATAGATTAAATATAAGTTAGAATACTACTAGATATTATAATAAAGTAGATATTTATATATAATAACTACTAAGAAGATAGAGAAGCTAAGAATAGACTTATTATAATCTCTAAGAATATTAAGTATTTTTTTACTAGCTTCTTATTATATTCCTAATAAGCTTTATTCTAATAGCTTACTATTTTAGATATCCTATAAGTTAGTTTTATTTAGTGTTCTAAAGTAATTATACTTAACTACTTTAGGTATTTTAATAACTTTAGTAACTTTAGTAGCTTAAATAGAGTAGTTAAAAATATATTAATAGAATAAGTTTAGTATATTATAGTAGAATTTAATAAAGTCTTATAGTTATATAGGAATATAAGGTTTAGATTTTAAAAACTTATTAAAGAGCTAAAACTATTATAAAAACTAGCTAGTCTATTTATTTTAAATACTATTATAAGGTATAAGATGCTATATAATAAGTATTTAAAGTATATTAATAAAAGAAAGCTTTTAAACCTACTAAGTGAGGAATAATTAATATTATTAATACTAATTATTAAGTTTATATTAGTAAATAGACCTCTTAGAAGTAGTTATACTATTTAAGCTTAAGATATAAGAGAAGTAGTTATTATTAAGTTTAGATTAATAAGAAGGTAGAATATAGCTATCTCTTATATAAAATACCTTTTATAGTAATTTAAAAGAATAAAGTTAATATATTAATTACTTTACTTTACTAAAAGTACCTCTTTATAGACTTAATTTATTTTTAGAATTACTTAAGGTAAGTTTATATACTTTTATAGCTTTACTAAAGCTCTATAGCTTAGGGAAGTTAGATCTTATTAAGTTATAAAGTATTATAGTAATTTAAATTTTAGTTTAAAGAGTTCTTTATAGACCTAATTTACTATTAGCTTTAATAATTCTAGAAAATAAGCTAGTTAGGACCTTATTATATTACTTAAAATACTAGTTAATCTATATAATATTTAAGGTATCCTCTATATAGAAGATTTCTTCTAAGTTAAATATCTTATTATATTAATATATTTTATTATAAAAGATACTTACTATAAAGTTTAAATTTACTTACTAAATACTATATTATAAAATACTAACTAAGAAAAAAGAGGAGCTATTAATATAAACCTCTTTATAGATAAATATAAGGATAACTTATAGAATTTTAATATAGTTATATATTTCTTATAAGTTAAGTAAAGCTATTTTATCTACTTAATAGTAAATTAGATTAATAAGAAGAGCTATTTTATAAACTTAAGTTTTAGCTAATAGAGTAACTAGAAGTTTATTAATATTATTAAAGCTTTTACTACTTAATATAAGTTACTTAAAATACTTAATAACTTTATTATTATCTTATTATAATATACTTAAGTAGTTAATTTAGTATAATAACTTAATAGTTATAGCTATAAAGTTTACTATATTAATTAAGTTTACTACTTTATTATAAAAAGATTTCTTAATACTTACTTTAATAATAATATTACTACTAATAAAAGTTTCTATTATTAAGACTTTTTATTTCTAATTAGTAAGTATAAGTTATAGATTATTATTAAGTTTTATAGATATAAATTAATTTATAAGAATCCTCTATTTTATTTTATAATATAAATAATAGTAGTTTATTTAAGTAAAATAGCTAAAAATAGAACTATATAGCTATTTTTAGAGTAACTTCTTAAATTACTCCTATTAGTAAACTTACTTTAAAGTTTTATAATAGTAATCTTACTTCTATTAACTATTTTATCCTTATTAAAAAGCTTAATTACTAGCTTTTTAATCTTAGAGAGATATAGTAATTATAATAAACTTATATTTATAACTCTTTATTATAAAAGTTTTATTTTATTATTATATAAGTTTTTAGTTTCTCTTTAAAGCTTTATAACTATTAGTAACTATTTTACTTATTTTTTTAAATAGTTTATCTTAAAACTAAAAGTAATTAGTTAAGTAATATATATTAATTAGTATATTAATCCTTAAACTTAGATAGAAGTTTATATACTACTTAAGATTTATACTTATAGATTTTTAAGACTTAGAGGATAAGAAGAATAAATATATTATAAACTTAAACTTAAATAAAATACTATTTATATAAGAGAAGTAAAAAAAAAATAAAATTATAGGAATATATATTATAAGTTCTATTAGTAAGTATAATACTTTTATATATATATAAAGATATAGGGAATTATTTTTTAGCTTAAAAAGCTAAGAGAGAAGATAATTAAGGATAATTAGAATAAAGTTTAATAAGTTTATTAGATTTTTTAGTATTTTTAGTATTTAGAGGCTAAATTATTAGCCCCCCTTAAAGAGTAAGAAATTAGCTTAGATATTATTATTTTTATAGAAATAATAAGCTTAATTTACTTATTTTTTAATAGATTTTTAAGCTTTTTATCTTATTTTTTTTATTTTAGATCTATAAAGAATATAAAGAGTTTTTTCTTTTTTCTTTTAAAATTATAAGCTTTAAAACTATAGAGTTATATAGTTAAGGTAGCTCTATACGCCTTTAGGCGTATACGCGCTGCTGTGCTGTATAGCTCTTAGCCGCCTAGCCTACAACTATTTTAATATATATAGCATCGACCTAAAGTCCGATCTGAGCCACCGTTTCACTGATGATCCGCTTCCATAGAACTCTCAAGGCGGATGCACAATTAGGCGTAAGAAGCAAAGTCTGGCAATCGTAGCTCGTAGACATGACTGTCATGCTTTCCGAAGGTGACTCATCATTCCAGGTGTAAGACAGAGTTTCATACTCAGGCGGACTGTCTAAGTTGACCTCAATTAAGTCGCACAAAAGAGGTGCATCGACATTTGTGCTGGAATGAAGTATGACCAAGCGGATTGACCGAGCGCTTACGAGGGAAGCATAACGGTAGCTGTTGTTGGTGTTCATGGCAAACAGACTCGAGGCCTGCCTCAATTTTTCGATGCCGATGGTTGTTCTTGCGAGCGAAGGGAAGGGTTTGGATGACGGTCTTGAATTCAGCTCTAGTCGGTAGTCTACTCGTGATGTTCACGACAAAGTGTAAGATCAGGTGAGAATGGCTCAGCCGCAGCTGAATTGGAGAAACATCCGAACGTGTTGTAAAGCACGATTATTGGATAAGACGGACCATGTTTGCACTGAGTTCTTTCATTGGTTGGAAAGGGGCGACGCACCTCGTCTTCGGACTAGCCACTTTCAGACTGTCCTTCGACGAGCCTGGTCATGTAGCGATCATAAGGCGGTACGCGGTGCATTCTGAGTAGGTTCAAGGAGTTCGTCTATTCTGGCACGTAGCAGCTGAATATTCGACATTGAAATCGACAGGATCATCAGTACAACTACTTGTTTCATAGGCTCGTCGAGCACAAAAGCTGTTTCATGGGGTTTAGTGTGGCTGTTTATTCAATGAAAAGAATATAGTGTATCCCTCATTGACCACCTATTCACTCATGCGCCCAAGCGAGAGAAAATTGAAACGCAATTTTGTGTACGTAGAGGTACAATGTATGGTGACGAAGCCGCAAACACCATCGCAGCAAGCTATAGCAGCAGCTCACGCACACCTCGTAACTCAGGGAGGCAATGGAAATTACCCCAACCGCGGATGATTTACCAGTATTTACCAATATTTATGAATCATTATCATTTTTTGGAGTAATTACTTGTCGTCTCTGCTATCTCAGGGCTACCTCAGGACTACCAGCGTCCTCATTGAATGTAGATAGCTTGGAAGAGCGATGGACTGCGACCTGGAACAGCATAATTATCATGAGAAATGTACGAAAGTGCTGTGCGTTGAATCTTCGCCCATACAAACTTAACGTATTTAAAATCCGACGATTAGTCTACCATTCAAAAGATTTCTTTGTGCCATGCTGAAGCCACGTGAACCCGAGAGGGGGAAGAAGGGCGTAATCAGAATCTCATTTCCAAGCCGTTGTCGGAATGGACCAATGATACTCTGATATTTCCTGAAAGTTATATGAACCCGTGCCGGTCCAATCGGAGTCTAGAAAATGAGCAAGAATGGCAAGGGGGAGAGTTCCTACCCCAGTTCCGCCAGGCTTTAAGGTTTGGTAAGGTTACTTCGCACGAACTCAAGGTCCGGATTGGTCCCGCGTCATCCGACCTTCGCTCACTTGAGCTTCTTAAAAACACTCGGGCTGGAACTCCTTGAGATAATCACTTCATGTTTACAGGTGCGATGATACTGGTTGTTCATCACGTCCGTCAATATGTCGCCAATGTCCCAATGGCTATGGATGGCCCTCGCGATGGCAACTGCCTCTGCGGCACAAGCCTCCAGTGTCATGGACACATATGACTATATAATCATAGGCGGCGGAACCGCGGGCATGACTCTAGCTTCAAGATTATCTGCAGTTCCAGAGAGTGGGTTTGATCCAAGCTCAAACTGAAGCTGATGTTTGACAGCTAACCGTGCCCGATCATAGACACCGTGCTTGTTATTGAAGCTGGATCCCTGTTCGTGTGCCCTGTTTATTGAACCAAATTGTCAGAGCGTATCTGACAGCTATGAATACAGAGATAATTACGAAGCTGCAGTCATGATTCCTCGATTTTATCCAGGAGCATCTGGCTTCGCTCCTGGAACTAGATACGACTGGAACTTGACGACGGTGCCCCAAACATTTCTCCAAGGGCAGACTGTCAATCTGACTCAAGGCCAAACCATCGGAGGCAGCAGTACTGTGAACGCGATGATCTTCGACAGAGGGATGCCGTCGAACTATGATTCTTGGGCCGCACTTGGTAACGAAGGCTGGGGTTTCGAGAACCTATTACCGTACTTCAAGAAGGTTGAACTCATGTCTTCAAATCATCAATCCTACTTCGTTTGCTGATGACGCAATGCCAGAGCGAGACCTTCGCAGCAGCGACTCCAGAGCATGCCTCACTCTACGGCCTGACGCACGATCCAGCTTGCCATGGATACGAAGGGCCAGTGCAGTCAAGCTATCTCGCCTGGTCGCATCCAAACAATAGTGCGTAGCTTCTTTGACCTCATGTCACGAAAAGTTCAAAACTTAATGATGCAGCCAACTTCCTCGACGCGATGCATGGCCTTGGCATAACCTCGCCGATTGATCAAGGATGTGATCCTCTTGGGGCCTACCTTACGACGCACTCGGTTGACCATCGAAATCAGTCGCGATCAAGTGCTCGAACAGCTCACTTTGACACTACATCAACCAGGGCCAACTTGAAGGTGTTAACTGAACACCAAGTCACCAAGATAATTCTTGACACGGCAAACGGAAAAATGATTGCAAAGGGAGTCGAAGTAAGTTTATTCGCCAATCAACCCTGTAAGGCTACTCTTTAAAACATCGCGCAAACAGTTTTCCTCGACAACCGATGGCTCTCTCCAGACTGCTGTCGCTACCCAGGAAATTATTTTGTCAGCAGGTGCTCTGAACTCCCCAAAGATTCTGCAGCTGTCCGGAATTGGCCCAGCCCATTTGTTGACTAATACCGGGATTAATGTTACGGTCGACTTGCCTGGGGTTGGCGAGAACCTCCAGGACCACCCGTTTGGGCTGACTCTCGCATCACGTCGGTTTTCTCACCTGCTGTAAGCTATTCTCACTAACGTAGAACAGTAAACCCCGGTATTCCTGCAAACTCTGACCTTGACAATGCAACCTTTGACGCTGAGCAACGGGACCTCTACTATGCTGAGAGAAAAGGTAAGCTGCTCGATGACCACTTGTACTGCATGTTCTCGAAAGGCGCTGACTAAACGCAAACGTTGCTAGGTCGTTGGACTGACACTATTGCGGAAGCGCTCGCTTTCATCCCGCTTTACAACTTCACTGAAGCCGACTTGTCTAACAACCTCATTTCGTCTATTGAGGCGAATTCTACACAATATCTACATGACAGTATCGACAGTACGGTGGTTGCTGGCTATGAGAAGCAGACAGGGTTGATTGCGTCGATGCATTCGAAAGGCTCCACCGCCGCAATGGAACTGCTCTACGTTGACGGAGGTCGCTCAGTCGTCAATATCCTAATGCATCCACTCAGCAGAGGAACGGTATCAATCACGTCATCAGACCCCTTTGCACCTCCCGCCATCGACCCCAGGTACTTTTCCCATCCCTACGATGGGCAGGTACTTGTCGAGTCATTGCGGTTTAACAGGAAACTGTTGGCGACTGCGTCCATTCAAGCTCTAGCTGCAACCGAGACGCTTCCGGGAACGGCCACCGAAAGCGATGCGGACATACTGAGCTTCATCAAAGGGGTCACCTCAACGGAGTACCACTATGTAGGAACTTGCGCAATGCTCCCGAAGGCTCTGGGTGGCGTCGTGGACGCTGAGTTGAAAGTCTATGGTGTTGATGGTTTGCGAGTCGTTGATGCGAGTATCATGCCCCTGTTGCCATCAGCGCATACCCAAGCGACGGTGTACGCAATTGCAGAGAAGGTGAGTATTTTCTAGTCCGAATCAACAGAGTTTGCTAACACCCAGTCTAGGCTGCAGATATCATTTTGGGACATTCGGTAGAAGGTCGTGAATAATCAATCCCAGATTGTGGGACCATACTGCCTGAATCTCAAGAGTTGAGCATGCTGCCTCATCGCGCACGCGCCTTTGGTTACAGAGAGATTTAATAGACTTAGGTTGTGTGACCTGGCTGTTGTTTAGATGCCACGGTGGCTGGGTTAGACCTGGCACAGGATCAGGAGCCTTGCCAATAATTGAACACATTCGTAATTCCAGTTTTCGCAATTGAGTCCCGACACTTTGTTAAATCCTTGACAACGAATGTCTCTAGATCTCGGTGCGAAGATCTTATTCTGCATCACGTGTGTGCAGCCATTCACATTGCCGGATATCGGCATTCGTAGAAATAGTTGGGGCTGGAAGCCGAAAAACCGCTCTAGCCAATGGTGTGTCGCTCGCAAAAGGGCCACGATCGATGAAGGATTCAATCCTGGTGTGAGCACGACCAACCAACAACCGTCAAAAACCACCAACAGACCAGTCCTTTGCATAAGCGCTGACTTATTTGCATCCAACAGCTCACAAGGCTGTTGCCGCCATGCCACTGCCGCCGCGATTCGGTGACGGCGGCGGGAAGAGTCCACGCGAAAAGAATTTGGACGCCTCTGTGAACCGATCGCTGACGCTAGTAAGTCGATATGGAAGACTAAATACACTTAGTTAACAGCCAGCCGCTCAACTAACGTGCCTAAGAGATTTACCTTCACCGCCAGCGAGCTTTTGTGAGGACGAATGACCAAAGTTCCATCAAGCTGAACAGCCCTGCATGACACCCATGTCGAATACCACCAACTGAATCACGTCTGCCACCGGGGGTAAACAGGGGCTTGCATATCCTTAGCGAACCATTTAGCGGGTACACAAACCGATTTGTAGCTGCCTAGCTGGGCTGATATTTTGTCTCAGCAAGCTCCCGGCTGGAGGCGCCGAGAGCCTCCTTAAATCCAACGATCTCCCTCTTTCTCTCAGCTCACCCACCCGGCGCAAACACAACTCGCCTTCGATCGATGAGGTCGGAACAGAATCAGCGACAACAGTCCCGACGACATATGGCCTAAGCCTTTCAAGCGGCCAATTGGAGAGAGTCTGATCAGTCGACAGTGCTGCGACTATGTCGTCAAACAGCACTGACAGCAGTGGGGTTGGAGGTGGCGGAAAAGACGACGACCTCGAGCTGATCGTGGCCGTTGTCGCGTTGGTCATCTCCGTCCTCGCGTTCATCATTGCCATTTTCCAAGCGCTGCAGCAGTATTATGCGTCAGCTACGGGGTATTCATCATGCACACCAAAGGTCATGGGAGATTGGGCGCAATTCACGCGGCGCATCTTCAAATGGTACGAATTCCGCTTCGAGGTCGAGTTCGAGACCCCTGTCATCTTCGTCGCGCCGCCGACAAACCCGAGGGGACCGTTGGGAGAGCACAAACACAAGGAAATTACCTACATGGTTGGAACACCGGACAGCTACAAGAAGACATACACTTGGGACCAAGACCAGTATAACCAGATCGACAAGAGCTTGCGGGCTGGTGACACCCGACAGGCTATCCATACTGCCGACAACGAACTCGCCAACTGGTTGGGGCTCTTGATGGCAATTCAGCGCATGGAGAAGGAGTCGCGAACATGGCAGGACAACGAGTATTTCGGCCATACCCCACAATGGCAAGAACAGACGCAGTGCCATCCCAATCCGACCAGCACATTCGTCCCGTACACCCTCACCGTCGGCATGCAGAGAAAGAAGAAGTCGTGGGATAGCATGCCCGACAACATGAAGAAGCCATACGCCACCACGACCATCTCGCATCTTGTGGAGATGGCGGCCATGCTGGGAATCTACTGGAAAGAATTCAATAGAAACGAGGACCGCTACCGTGCTCAAGGAAACGGCTTCATGATCACTGGGTACGACGTGGATGACTTGGGAGTCGTCTTTACCTTCCAGAAGACGGGACCGACTTGGTTCCATGAGAACCGCGTTGTCCCCCACAACAGCGTCAAGGAGCTCTGCTTTGGTTACTGCCCAACGATATTCCGCCAGCAGAATAGCAGCAATCACAAATACACAGACGAACCCAAGGACATTGGTACATTGCAACTAGGAAGCATGTCAGCCATTGCGGAGACTCTTGTTGTGCTCGGCTGCAATACCAACACCGTCAAGTATTTCCGAAAGCCGACGTCTGACACGCGACACACCCACCTCTTTCCAAGTAAGCCACGTTGAAGATACTGTCGAGACACTGTCCCTAGATACTAACGTGCCCTAGTTGCATTTGAGCTTCTCGGCATGACCGGTGTCGCCCTCCAAATCCCGGGCACCGCCTTTCGAATGCTCCCCAACCCAACGATTTGGCATTGGGATAGAAAGTCATTCTCACTGCGCACGTTCCTGGGCGATTTTGTCCACGGTATGAAAGAAGCCTCTTCTAGTGACGCGATGTTCAGTGAAGAAGTCGGATCATACGTCGCCACCATTCACAAGGAAGCTGCCAAGATTGAAGACAAGTTTCAAGAGCTTGAGGCGCGCGACGGACCGGAGGCAATCCTGAGGCGCACTCAGAATGTCGAAGAAAGAATCTTCTCCAACGACCTTGTCATGTCTCTTCACTCCGCTATCGCCAAGTGCGACGAGTTTCTCAAGAACCAAGAACGCATTACGTTGGTTCAGAACGTTGTACGCGTCCACTTCCAGGAGGTATTGCGTATCTTGAACGACAGGGATGGGGAATACAAAACTGTTGTTGTAACTCCAGCCAGCAGGAGCGCCAAGGATATGGTTCAAGAGTTGGTTGTGCCTGGGGCCTCGCCCATGCCAAAGACACAGGAGGAGACCGCGGAGAGTCGGAAGGAGATTTCCCTTCTTCAGAAGCTGGACTCAGCCTCTTCGAGCGAGAGACACTCGGTCTTGGTCGAGATCTATCTCCTTTCAGTCCGAAGGAGGGTCATTGAAGTAGTCTGCCGTCATTTGAAGCACGAACAGGCTCGAAGGGGACGAGGTGCGAGATCAATCGCCTCTGAAGCTTCCTTGGAGCCCCTCTCAAAAGATCAAGGGCAGCAGATCAGCGATATCTGGTGCATGTTGGTGTTTCGCATGGTGTGCTGGCTGCTTTTGCATGATTTCCATGGTAAGGATATCCAAGTTGAGAAGAGCGATGTGTTTGGTAGCCGGATGCCGGTCTACATCACTTAGGCCCTAAATAGGGTTGACTGACGATGTAATGTAATGATAGTTGACGAATGTAATGAGGATCAAACCAATCGGGGAGATGAAACACACTATGTCGAGATTTCAGCGGGTTCTGATACCCTGTGATCATTGAACATCTACTTGAATTTCATTTGATTTCTATAAGTCTCGTACACTTATCCCTCCTCGCACCTGATATCATGTCTCATCATTTACTCATTGCTTTCCGTTGGCGCCATTCTCACGGCCACCCAGTTGAGAACGGACGCTCGGCAAGATGTAGCGACCATAGTCAATGGCATCGTTGAGATTGTCGTAGCCACGGATGGAGATCAACTCAGCGCCGAGGTCGACATAGTCAAGAATAGAGTCGACCACAGTTTTGTGTGAGCCGACAAGCGCCGTCGAAGCGCCACGTGCGTTGGTAGCCGTGACCGTGGGGTACCACAGAGCACGATCTTGCACTTCACCACGCTTGGCAATATCAAGCAGACGCTGCGAGCCAACGTTTTGAGGCTGCCCAGCACTGGCGTCTTGGCCGTTCTTGCCCTGTCCCGCGGCAATGTTGCCCTTCAGAGCATCCAGCGTGCGGTGAGCCTTGTCCCAGGCGAGATCGTCTGTCTCAGCAACGATAGGACGGAAGGTGACCCAGATACGGGGACGGTCCTTGCGGCCAGCCTTCTCCGCTTCGCCGTAGATGCGGTCGATCTGCTCCTTTGTCTCCTTGAGAGGCTCGCCCCAAAGACCAAAGATGTCTGCCAAGGAACCGCCAATGCGGTACGCCTCATCTGAAGAGCCGCCGACGGAGACTGGGATGGTGCCGTTGGTAGGACGGACCTTGTTGGTGAAGTTCTTGAATGTGTAGTACTTGCTCTCCCAGTCAAAGGGCTTATCAGACTCCCACGCGCGGCGGAGAATCTTGATGTAGTCCTCGAGACGACCGTAGCGCTCGTCCTTGGAGAGGAAGTCACCCTCCTTGGCTTGCTCCGCATCACTACCTCCAGCGATGAAGTGCACCACGACGCGACCTTTGCTAAGCTGATCGAGAGTTGCCAGAGCCTTGGCAGCGACAGTGGGGTAGAGGGTGTTTGGTCTCAGGGCGATGATAACGCTGACATTCTTTGTGACGGCAGCAATAGTCGCACCAATAGTGAAAGGGTCAAATGAGTCAGAACCGTAGGGAACGAGGGTGTAGTTGAATCCGTAGTCATCCAATGACCTGGCATAGCGGACCAGGAACTCGGGATCAACGCCCGCGCCAGAGATCGGGTTGATCTCTGTCGAGGCGTTGGGGAAAGTTACGCTGATGAATTCGGTAGGCATCTTGTGTGTGAAGGGTTGTGTCGGACTACTGCATAAGATTCTTCAAAACACTAGTGTTGAAGATGATGTGCACCGTGGTCTATATACATCCGTCGTTGGATATGACGACAACTGCACAGGAATCACGCCTTACACCCATTGCCGATTTCGGCAAGGCGGTTCTCCAGTGGGATGTCACCTCAACTCCATGTCAGTCCAGACTGAGTGATTATCTAGGCAGCATGGCGATGATCAATTTTCTGGTCCAATTTGTTGATGAGAGCTTTTGGTAGAAGTTGTCGCTGGCGTTGTCGGGCTTGTTGCGACCGGTGACCAAAGCTTCGGCGATGCATGCGGAGCCCGCTCGGTGAAGGCCCGGATCTCGCCGGAAGCCCGCCGGAACATACAACCACACACCGACGACTTCTGAAACTACCAACAGCAGCACATCAAGTTCGGCTCTACCCCGCTTCATGGTCGCACGCAATCCGCAGGGTCCGTTTCCACCCACCCACACTTAGCATCTCTAATCCACAGACGCTTAGCCAACAATCGAAGCCCTTTGAATGATCGGGAGGCGCAGGAACGTCCGACTCGGCGTTAATCGTGCCACTGACTTACAAATCAACTTATCCGAGATTGTTCTGGAACTCATGATTCGCCGACTGTTGAGGCCGACACAAGATGCTAGCTAAACCCCGCAAAGCACGTCAACGCTTGACTGTAACAAGAAGAGTAGTCTCAACAGTCATCCTAAAGCAGTAGTCAGACGATGATTCTGTGGAGCACTCTATCGCTCCGAAACGAGTTTTCCTATAAGCCCCTTCCCGTCATACATAATACTGGGACCAACCGCGTCCTACAGCATGTAGTTTGGCCAACGTCCCGCAACAGCCAGTGAAAGACGCGTGCAGTCTTGATGCAGGCTTTCGACCGAAAGGCACATACGCTGACTTGGACTTTCAAAGGTAACTTTCTTGGCCTTGGAGAAGGCAAGAGCGCAGAGATATCAACTTGATCTTTCTGTTTAGTTGCAAGGCAAAATTTTCATGGTACCTGAACCTAAGCCTTAAGGGCACAAATAGTCTTCACTTGTCTTGTCTTGGGGCCGTTCGAGGCTCTTTCAAGTTGACCGCCCAGTGAGCTTATTTTATGTACAACTCGGGGCCAATGGAATGAAAACAGTGAAACGAAATGAAGCAAAGCTGGATTGAGCATACGTGCCTTCATGCAAGAATACCTCGTCCTAAGCATTCAACTTCAGTGGGAAGCTCTCCCAATCCAATTTACCCCTTGCCCCGAATTTGGTGTTCAACTCTGCGTAACGATCCAGCTTCTGTCCATATGGGCCGATATTATTCTTTGGGTCCATCTTCTCCCCAGAGTCCTCGGCTCGTATTTTCCAAAGGCTGCGGAGGACTAAATCCAACCCTCCCGCCCTGTAATCCAAGAGCACATCAGGTGATGTGCCCGGCCATTTGCCGGGTTTGTCAGCCCGGACTATAGTCTTCGATAGGTTTGTAGGATCACGCTCAACCGTCCATCCCGTTTTCCAAGGGACTTGATACTCCCAGAGCCGCTCCTCCACGATATTGAAATCCTCATAACCAGTAGTTATCAACTTCAAAGATTGCAGCATTGATTTGCTTCTAGAAGCAGCAGCCCCTGAGATGACACCGAAAATGGACCGCGCCAGCTTCTCGTCAACTGCCATGTTGACGAGAAAGTCTTCAACCAGTTCTTTCTTGTATGGACTGTACACGCTTTCTCGATCATCCATATCGGACTGATTGCAGATACTCATCCCATGGTAATTCAATAACTGATGGACCGTATCAGCAAGTTCCCTGTCCTCTTCCTCAGCGTTGCAAAACGGAGGTAACCAGCTGAAAATATCGGGATATTCTTCCTCAATCTTCTCGTAAAGATCTAGCTCCCTGAGCATAGAACTTGTGATGTACGGCATCGTCACATTGAGAAAGATCTGAAGACTCCGTAGGTTGGAAAACCTTCCTAGAGCTCTGTAAGTAGCAACCTCTCCCGCATCACCCTTGGTGCGAGCAATCTTTAGACCCAAATGCTCAATGAGTGGGCTTAGTCTGGAAATCTCCTCCACATCGCCGATAGTGAGTGGTTCAGCAGTCCCCTTCGTGAGATCTAGTGTCCGGAGCGTGTGACCCAATCCTGCTGGAAACTCGTAGAAACGGCTTTCGCCCGTGATTCGTAGCGTGGACAGCTGCGATGAAAGTCCACCAACGAACTGTTGCACTGCCATGCGAAGAGCTTCTTCGGTTTGTTCCAGATCTGCAGGTTCTCCCGGATCGCGATACTTCTTCGTGACCCTAAGATCAAGGCACTCCAGAGACCGAAAGTCGGAGGATGACAGAAGTTGGAACCCTTCTAAGGTTGGACAGTGAGAAAGGTAGAGGTTCCGTAACTGAGCAAAGTCCACGCATGTACTCCACGACTCGAGCGCGCCGCGGCTCACTAACGGAGTGAGTGGATCAAACATGATTTTCAGGCGCAAAGACTCCAAAGATGCCGCGGTGTTCTTCCCTTCGCCCTCATGAAGATGTCGAAAAGAATCCCAGGAAATAGCCTCGTAGCGTTGCCATCGGTGCATAAGCATGCTGATCTCCTTTAGATTGGGCGAGAGCCTGGTTAAGTGACCCATGACCGACGCATTGGCTGTATGTTTCCATCCTCGACGTGGACAATCGAAACCCACTTCGGCCTCCACGTACCAGCATCGTACGCCATATAAACAAGGAGACTTAGCCAGTTCCAGGTCAGGTCCATCAAGGGATCTGTTGGGACCCTCCAACGCACTGTGTAGACGAAAGTTGCGAATCCATAGCCTGCAGAGATATGCCTTTTCGTGTAGAGCTTCGAGCAAGCAGCGGGGAAACGGAGATGAGCAACCGAATTGTAAGTCCTGCAACGCTGACAGCTTACGCACCAGAGCGGCCAAGGGAGCCCAGAAATGATCATCATCAAGCTCATTGCGGTGAAACTCAGGAAGGCCGTGATGGCCACGATAACCATAGCCGTCTGGAAGTCCTTCGTCACCCTCAAAAGAACGGGGGTCATCATACGACAAGTACCCTTCGAAGCCGCATCCATCTTTGTGCCTTTCAAAATCGCTCAAGGTGGGCTGCTGCCAGATGTTGCGATACTGGCGGTGACCAGGCTCGTGCACAAAGTCAAGTTCTCGTGTGTCATCCAAAACAAGGCGACGCACTGACGTAAAGGTTCCATCGCGAAGAAGGGCCTCGGAGCACAATCGAACGTCGCTGTGGAATGTCTCTTCTTGAATTTTCAGCCTGTTTTTGTAGAGCTCCGACTTCCACGTGTCGTGGACCTTCTCAATTCGGAACTTAATAGTTTCAACAAGGAAACCCTTCGCCACGCCGTGACACGTCTTGCTGGCCAAGGCGAAGGCGACTAGGCTTGCAAAGTAGTTCTCATCATGAAGATAGCTGCAAATATTATCCAAGCACTCGACCGGGAGAGCTTGCAGGCCAGCGCGTTGCTGGGCCGTCTCTTTGGGTGTCGACCTGTTTGGTAGTGGGCGAGTGAAGTACTGGTCAAGAGTCGTTTGGGACCTCGCCCTCTTGACCTGGGGGCGTGAGGTCTGGGCATCGCCTTCCCCGAGAGGGTCCGATCGTTTCATGGCGTGAGGAGAGGGAGACGATGAGGAGAGGACGGCTAACCTGAGTGTTGACAACGAACAATTGTGAATTATCGACGAAACATTTTCTTGCTGCTCCACTACTCCGGGGTTCCATTGCACTAAGTTTTAGGGGTAATTATCCACCCCAGTTCTGATCCATGGGAATTTGTGCAACTACATGTAGTCGGCAGGTGCAAGACCATGCTTATCATTTGCTATGTTCGTGAAAGTCAAAAGCGCAAGCGAGTCCTTTTCAACTATGTTTAATACTCCAAGGCGTGAAAATCATGATGTAGGTAACGTTGTGATGAATATTGTAGTTGTCCTGAAAAGACCGCGGATAGCGGACTTGTTTCCCGCGCTTAAGCGACCGGACCCGGAGAGTTAAGTGCCGACTCAGCGACGTGGCCGTTCTCGGCGGTACCATATGCACAAAGAAACCCCTCGTGGTTAAAGGTGAGCAGGCGCACCGGCTAAGTCTCGCATATCAGGCGCACGCATCATTTTGTCGACAGGAAGATACTACAAGCTATCGGGACTAATCCCCCCACTTACTCTCAATTAGCCCCTTCGACGATAACAGACCCGCGGGAAAGTCACGTAAGGTATTTAAGTACTGCAGCCAGAGAGCAATTGAACTAAGTTCCTCAGAGTATTGCGAAAGAAACCGCAAACGCAGTTGCAATGGACTTTGGACTGGAAAACCACCGCACTTTTATTGGCAAGAAGGTCTCAGACCTGCCATCACCATCATTGGTCCTCAGTCTCCCGGTCATCAAGAGAAATGTGGAGAAGCTGGATCAAGATGTCGAGAAGGCCGGAGTTGCTTTTAGACCTCACGTGAAGACACTCAAAGTAAGTTTCGGACGAATTCAATGATGAATTGAAACCTGACGATTCCAGACCACCGAAGTTACGCGGTTGATGTTGGGAAACGGCAAGTTCAACAAGACAGTCGCATCGACACTATCAGAAATCAGGGGTCTGCTACCGCTGGCAAAAGAGGGAATTTTGGAGGAGGTGCTCTATGGACTCCCCGTCAGCTCGGGCGTCATCCCCCTTCTAAGCGAATACAGGAAATCTGTCAAGATCCTCCTCATGGTCGACCACGATAAGCAAATCGATCTGTTAGAGGAATTCGCAAAGAAGACCGCTGACGCACCGGCACCGTGGGACATTTTCATCAAGCTTGACGTCGGCAGTAAGCGCGCAGGCGTTCCTCTCAGCAGTGAACGTCTTCAGAAACTCATTCAAAGAGCGAATGAGTCTTCGGTTGTGTCACTTTATGGTTTCTACTGCCATGCCGGCCACTCGTATGGATGCAAGACGCAGGAGGAGGCGGCGGGTGTTTTGGCTGATGAGGTCAACGGAGTCATCAGCGCGGCGAAGTTGATCGTAGGCGAACAGAAACTGACTCTGTCCGTGGGTGCCACACCAACGGCGCATGTTGTCGGTACTCTCCAGACCGCCATCCCTTCTAACGTGACTCTGGAGTTGCATGCTGGTGAGCCCCTTGCCATGTTTCCCAAGCGGGAAATAGCTACTGACATTCAACAATAGGAAACTTCCCTACGAATGACCTCCAGCAAGTTGCCACCGGTCTGGTGTCAATTGAGGACCAGGCCGTCAGGATCACAGCAGAGGTCTGCAGCGTGTATCCGGAGCGCAACGAGGCCCTCATTAACGCTGGCACGGTCGCTCTCTCCAAAGAGGCGGGTGCGTTCCCTGGGTTCGGCAACCCAGTGGGGAAGCCTGGTTGGGCTATCGTACGCATGTCTCAGGAGCATGGCATCATCGGCGAGGTCCAGGCCCCCGGGTCCAAGAACGCTGAGCCGGAGCGCCGGGACATAGAGGCCAACTTCGAAATTGGCGAGAAGTTGACGCTTTATGTCCAGCACTCTTGCATTACGGCCGCGGCGTTCCACGTTTACTACGTGGTTGATGAGAATGATGTTGTTCAGGATACCTGGGTACCCTGGAAGGGTTGGTAGACGATCAAAACTGGTTTCCGGAATATAGAATAATAGCAGACGCCATGTTCAACTATCCACGTTGCAAAGATGAGACGTTCAAGCAAAGTTCTTTTGTCTAATGGTATCTATCCTGCGTTGACTCCGAGTCCAAATGCCTTAACCCAACATTGCTTCCCAACGCCCTTCACAACCCCATTCAAGCAAACGAAATCCATATTTGGTGCTCATTCATCACGCGACAAACACTCCACGGCCCGGACCTCATAGGCGCAGCATCCTCTTCATCCCAAATATGCTGAAGTAATACAGATGTTTGCCGGATGTTTCCTAGACCAATCGACGCAAAGGTATGCCCCAGTCTTTCCCTCAAAAATGTTCTTTGCCCCTCATCGACTACGCAAGACCCAATGACAGCAATTGGCCAACAGAGACTAGTGTTTACCCTCACAGTTGGATCTAGCTGCGCCAGATGTGATAACGCCTCCGCCAGCGCCGTTTGGGTAGCCACAGCCATGATCCCATTCTCATCCCCAGACAGAGGGTGAAGGGCCGTGTAGAGATAGAGCGTCACAGCTTTGTGGTACACGTACCCAGCCAGCGCGACGTCTGGGCTGACCGCCGGATTCGGGGTCCACGCCTGTACCTGGCTTTGTAGTTGGGCGAAGAGCATGAATTCATCTGCCGAAGGGCGCCAGCCTGGGGTGCTGGAACGGGTTTGTACTCGGCGGGCGAGGTCAAATATTGGGGGAATCAGAAGGATTAGGTTCAGCCAGGTGCCACACAGGTTGCCGACATAGGATTCCGCTACGAGCTCAGTCGCCAAGAGGGCCATGTCGTTGTCCAGGAAGTATTGGTCACTGATCCGCGCGTCTATCGAGATCATGCTGAGCGTTGCTGTGTATACGTAGTATTCGACGAGAAACTGTCTCATGGACTTTGGGAGGGAGATGAGGAGGGGGAGTGAGGGTACGATGAGCGACTTCGCTGCGATGAGATGGTCGTAGGTCGTGCCGTTGATATCGCCTTTAGCTGTCTATTCCGGCTATCAGAAACCATCCGGACTCGATGAAACATGTCATGATAGCAAAGGGAGAGCAGCTGGGAGGTACTTACCTCGATGAAACATAGAATCAGGGCAGCTATGCCTAGTAATAATGTCTGTTCCCTGGATTGCTCGCCCATGAACTTGGAGAGGTTCTGCTGGAATAATCGCAGTGACCGATCATAGTATGTGTTGGCGACACTGTCGAAATCATTCAGAGACTTTGCGGCCCGATGAACCGCGCTCTGTGCTAGAAGAAGCTGCAAGACGAGGTCGCTCTTAAAAGCCATTGGTATCAACTGCTCGCTGAAGGGATTCTGCACCGTGGAACCGTTGGCCATACTGATTGTCGTAGCAGCAAGGTAATGGCTCAGCAGCTCCATTGAGAAGCTATCATTAGTCCCAGGTAGGAATGACAACGTCCTTGGAACTTGCGTCACTGGACTCGCCGCAGCTCTCACCGGCGAAGTCGTCACCAGGCTCGTCGGAACCTCCGGGGTTTCTTCATCTTGACGACTACTCCCAGGGACGGCTGGAGTAGGGAAGGAGAGGAAATCTAGTGATGCCAAGAAGTCGAGGGGGTTCTCTGGTGATGGCTGCGGATCATTCGGGCTGGCTGCTGACGCTCGCGTTGGTGGCCGTGGACTCGATCCCGTCGACGCGCCGCTTGGTGACTCTGACGATTGAGATGGCGATGTGTTCTGACCCATTGGCGAAGAGTGTGAGGGTTGATTGCTTTGGCGAGGCGGAGACTCCTGCATGCTGGGAGACGCCTCTGACTGGGCAGAAGCGCCGGCAGATTCGCCGCTCTCTTGCCGCGCGGTCTCCGATGCGCCGGCCGGCTTCGGCGGGGCGGTCTTGGGGGCTGCAGACGGGGGCCATTTGCACTCGAGCCGGTTGCGTTCGCAGCCGCGGCACCGCGGCTTCGTCTCATCGCACTTCTTCTTGCGGCCGCGGCACGTCAGACATCCCGTGCGGACGCGGAAGATGGGCCCAGCGAGGGTACGGCGGGGTTTTGAAGAGTTCATGGGATCGGATCAGCATCGGGCAGGGCGCGCGTCGCGGCGCCCAGGCTCTGTGTTTGAGATCAGAAAGGTTCGATGGAAGTCTGGGCCTGATAGCGAGATGACCCAGAGTATGTGATGAGTTGATGTGTTGAGGCGATATCCAGCTCCCCAATTGGCGACATGAAGTTGAACGAGGAGCTGTTTTGCATGGGCCTGATAAGGAAAGATTGCGGGGGTCGTTGGAGCGCGGTCCGTCGCATTCACGAAGACCCGCTGGCCCGCTTTTGGGCCGGAGCCATCGCGGTAAAGGTTCGGATTGGTCGGAACGATGCCACGCTACCCCAACAGGGACATCCCGACGAGAGATCAGGGGGGATGACTTGTGTTGCATTGGAGGTTTGGAACCACGAAAAGGAGACTTGGCCCAGGCGAGACTCACGCCAAGGTTGAAGTGCGGAGAGATGTGCTTCCCCCAGTTGATCCACCTGTTGATGGTGTTGTGGATATGGGGAAGCAGTTGGCGCGCCTTTCTGTCTGTTGTGAGTTGTAACTTGTGAGGCAGAAATTCTAGCTGAGTGGGCGATATTCACCACTCCGTTGGCCGAGTGAAATACGACTTGGGTAGTACGCGGTAGAGTGATTTGTTATGACGTCCATAGTCTGAATATCGCTGTCCATCCCTCGTCTCTGCGCGTTTCGGCAAGGCAACCAAGGCAAGAGAGATGCCCCTTAGCTATCCTCTTCATAAGAAATACATCGGATAAGGGGTTTAATTTCGGGACTGAATCGATCCCCTGAATGACAAATAATTGATACGCAGAGGCTAGAATTCATCACTTGAGACGGTTAAGTTCGGTGATTTGAAGATGACTGGCTTATTGTCTCACCCATCACCATGCCTAAGACATAACCATACCCGAGCGACGAGACTGGGCAGATCCAAAGCATTTCATTTAGTTCCACAGCGCCAATGTTTTA